AGAGCACAGTTTTGCTCAAAATATTGCAATGCACACAACATTATGGCTGACATACCAGAGTTCAAAAGAGGACAAACTGTTGGTGCACGTCTTGCTGGTGCATCTGTGACCAAGACAGCAAGTCTTTGTGATGTATCAAGAGCCACGGTATCCAGGGTAATGTCAGCATACCACCAAGGAGGATGAACCACATCCAACAGGATTAACTGTGGACGCAAGAGGAAGCTGTCTGAAAGGGATGTTATGAGGACATGTCGGACAGTCTTGGCATATTATGTCGGTAAAAATAATAATCAGATGTAAACAGAGTCAGGAGAACGATAGAAGCAGTGGCATCAGGCTGAAAGTGAAAGGGTAAAGTTCCTCTGTCATGTTTGAATCAACAATGGCTGAAACGACCATTAAGTATTAAAGATTAGARTCTACGAGTCATTTCAGGAGAGGAGATCGAGCGGTGGAGAGCTTTGAGCAAAAGTTGGAAGAAGAGAAAATATGCATCTAAGTTGTGCTGAGATTTTCAAAACTCTAATAGGAGAATTTCCATAAATGATCATAACAAATTTAGTTGTAAATAAGCCGTCTGCTGAAGACCCCCCCTCCCCCCTGCTGAGGAATTTGAATAGTGTATGTTTGCAGTTTTTTGAGTGTTTTTCCAGACTGGAACTGAACAGAAAACACAAGAGAACCTTTATGATTTTGGTGCAGGATATTCAGAAGTTGTTTTTTTTTTTCTTTGCTTGTCTGACGTGCAGAGTGRCAGATCCTGTCAAGCAGAGGGAGCAATTTTATCCATCACCARGTGCAAAGGAAGAGCCAGGGGGTGGCCAGTGGTGGCTTTACCTACCAGCCCCAATCATTTGAGGAAACTATACTTTCTATAGTTACTCACTATAATTTTCTCAAACAATCAGGGTGGTYGGTTATGGCGGAGGCCAGCTTGGATTTTGACATGGAAACCCAATCTTCCACATAATTGGAACTTAGATGGAATCACATCCAAAATGGGAGTTTTTACCTCACTTATGTCATAAAATTGATGGACAGATGGAGGGAATTTCCAAATTTTTGAGTGAACAAGGCAAGGAATCTTTGCTGGTTTCTTACCGATTTTTTTTTACAAAAACCCTGATAAATCTGAGTTACATAAACCCCCAAACAATCATTTAATGATGTTGAAGTTGTGTTAGAAACAAAATAATTAAATTCAAAAACACTGAAAAACACTTTGACAACTATTACGGCTTTAAAACATTAATCTGAAAATTTTTACACCAATTCAAACGTTGACTATTTTAYGAACTTTTACACTATGGCCAATCTACATAGTCCTTGAAACAGAATTATTTGATTTAATTTCAAGCACAAACAGTGTTGGCAGCAACTACCCAAAGTACATTTCATATAGGGCAGCTTACAGGAATACTTCACTCAGGCTAGCTGTTAGCTTGCCAAAATGCACTGAGGTCATTCAAAGAGCCGTCTACAACAGGTTCAATATTAACTGTTCAGAACTTTTTCAATCAATTTACCCGTCACTTTAAAAAGTGGAGTATTGTTTTCAACTGAAGCGCAAGTAATTAACTTTTTTTTTATATATATAACAGCTCCTGCATGCTAGCACCAGTGTGTGCAGAGCCCAAAGTAAGCACATCACATACTGTATGTCTCGGCACAAGTTGTTTTCTCTTATCAAAATAAAAAGGTTGAGAAAGGGCTTTAGGAAGGAGAACGATAACTTCATTACAGCTTAACTGTCTTGACCTCAGCAGCTTTTGTCTATTTTCTCCTTCATTTCACTACACTGGAGGACGACTTCCCACCAGAAAACACAGGTTACATAAACCAGAGATCCTAAAGCTGCTTCGGCTTTCAGAGGCAGAATCGTTTTTATTTTGTCTCACGGACAAGCAAAGAATGGCATTGCCTACTACTTAAGCACCATTGGCCTTAAAACCAAATCTGTTTACAAGAAAACTGTGAGTTTAAAATGKTTCATCTTTAACCCGGCTGAGTTTTGTCTCAGAGGCTGACACAGGCCCTCTATCCTGAGTCCGAGGTGCTGCGTGTAATCCACTGACAATGAATAATTTTATTGGTGAAACTGTAGAGCCAGAAGAGGATAGAAGGCAGCGGGTGAAGAAAGGCATGTGAAATTATGTCAGCTCCTTTTGCATGCAGCAGCAAATCCAATGAAACGTGTGACATYCGCAGCACAACGCATGGATTTAAAGAAATTTGCCTTCTTTTACTGCACAGCTCCTGGCATCAAAAGGTTCAACACAGAAAYATTATTTTTTCTTCCAGCAACTCTCAGCGTCTTCTTTTTTAATTGTACAGTAATAAACACATAGAACGCCTGGTAACCACATATCTTTACACAAACAATGCATTAATATAATGACAGGAATAATAAATACAAAATTCTTTATGAAAATCAACACCTGACAGACACACACAAGGCCTTGAAGTGACAGTTCGGAATAATTAATATCATACCTGTCAGAGATAGATCTTTGGAGAAAACCTCTCAAATCTCAATGATGTGATGATGCTTTACATAAATGCTATTTGAAAGATCTACACATCAGCTTCATATTCCACCATCATTCTGACAGAAATATCATGACTGCCCCCAAAAGTGCTACAACTAGTTGCTGCTGCCACTATTTTCACTCAAAAATAACTAATATTTGATATAAATAACCACAGTTTGAAATGCAAAATTGATCAAGTTTATAAAAACAGTATTCACGTGAAGATGTTGAGATTCAAGTTAGTCTTGGTCAGTGGTGGAG